TTGGTAATGGAACATTATTTAAAAGTCATTTATATCTTATTACTGTTAGAAGTAAAATACACATGGGAAAAAAAAAGAAAATTTATGATGCGCCACAGTACAGCATCCAGCAAACTCCAGTAAAGATGAAAATACTCTGACTGAGATTCAGCCAGTTTCCTGTTATTTCCCTTATCAGCTTAATTTAGGCCTCCTCAAGTTTGCCTCAGTTTCCTCCAGTATATTTACAAGAATTTTCCAAACAAATGCATAATTATTATTTTTTTTACCTGTCCAAGTGTAAGTGGAACAGCATCTTGTGTATGAGTGCGACCTATTTTTATGATTTGGGAAAACTCTTTGGATTTCGCTTCAAGTGCATTCTGTAGCTTCTTTAGTCCAGGTAACAACACCTCATTAACCTCCTGGGCAGCAGCAATGTGCATTGCTGTTGGGAAAGTGTCATTTGAACTCTGTGAAGGAAGTCAAAGAAATTTATTTCCAAGCTCTTCCCACCATTGTTGCTGTAAGATGTACATGTATGGCTTTATTCTCTTTATTTTATAAACAATAAGAAACTAAGAGTAAGCAACTCAGGAGTATTCCACAAGTCAATCTGCAGGAGTAAGCAAATCTTCTAACCTCCAGTCCAGTATCTTATTGATACAGTAAATTTTTTATAACTATTCCCACAGAAAGTTAACTACATGAGTCGATTGTTCACAACTACACTGGGACAAAAAAAAAGAGAAAGAATCGCTGAAGTACTTACGAGAGACAGGTAACAAATGGATGGATGATTTTAAAGGAATTGTAGGTGTCTTTAAAATACCTGTGTGTTGCTTTTGGCCACCTCTGCCCATTACACATTACATCACATGTGAATTAATTTATCATGAATGAGTTCAAAATTTTTAATCTCAAAAGCTCAAACTGCCACTGACCAATATTTAAAAGTTCATTTAAACTGAAAAACCTGGAGAATTGTTGCCAAAGTTGTACACAAAATTACTTTTTTTTTTTTTTTAAATCTAAACAGTGGCTATACAAGAATTCAAAATTCACAATTGAAAAAAAATACGTTTGACATTAAAAGAAGTATAATACAAGTATAACGACCTGGCTTTTGTTAACATGATCATTCGGATGTACTGGGGTTTTGCTCCCCAGTTTTCCCCCCATTATTTCAATGGCTCTATTGCTGATGACTTCATTGACATTCATGTTGGTTTGAGTTCCAGATCCAGTCTGCCACACTACCAATGGAAAGTGATCATTTAATTTTCCTTCAGCTACCTATAATGGAAAAAAAGAGAAACTTGTCCTACTGGAAGAAAAAAAAAAATCAAAATGCATAAACCGAGAATTTCATAGCTATAATTCAAATAATGTTCTCCATTATATTTGTAAATCTACATATAACAATTGTGAATTTATACCAGAATAACTAAGAGAGTTTGATGTAATCCCAGGTATTAAAAGGGCAAAAAACCTTTGCTATGCTTTTTGAAGATGAATTCTGAAATACAGATAAATATCTAATTTAATTTAATGTTCTACAATCATAGAAAGAAAAGATTTTAAAAAGGTCTTTTAGGTTATATCCTCTCTTTCCCAAACAATGCAGATTATTTTATAAGTCAAAAAACATCCCCTCCTTCCCAAATTTTAAATACATTTGGATTCTCATCTTCCTGAGTAGGACTAGAGGTAGTATGTGCTGGTTCTCCCTTCCACAGTTATTTGCTCAGGTTAGTAAGATCTCCCAGGCAATGGAAATATCCTAAGCAGTTTCTCAACGAGAGCACCTAAGGTGCTTCAGGGTACTGATTCAATGTTGTGTGTCTTCTTGGGTCATGACCATCCTTTAGGTGTCAGAAACATCAGTTTTCAGACAGCACTTATCTGTTTACAAACTCCCCATTGGCATGGGTGCACTGCTTTCTCCAGGAAATCAAGTTCAAGAGCTGCACAGCTTCCTCCTGAACACTGATCACAAATATACAAGAATTTGAATTAGAGGCATTCAGAAGTCCATTCCTTATGGGAAACAGACCCCCAGAAGAGGTGTTTTTGCTAAAGACCATCTGTCATACACATGCAGTACATGATATTTGTGTAACTGGACTCTGAAATTTCTCCAGAAATAAACTTCATACAGGGAAGTGCCAGACTTGTTACATACACCTGTAGATATCACGTTTTTCATCAACACAGTGAGCTGGCAGACAGCTGCTGGTATCAAACACCTTCTTCCTGTGAGGCATGCTTTCCCTAATACTGCCCTGGACCTGCATGGCCTTAAATTGAGAGGTGCCTAAAAAGGACTCATGAATGCCTTTACTGTACCTCAACTGTAACTGAATATGTTACACATATAAACAAGTATGAGGATCACATGGACTTAAAAAGATTCCTATGTATTGACTTGCTGATTACCCATGGGAACAAGGTCCTCATGAGCCAACAACGGCTGTACCAACTTACATCTTCTGTAGGCTGGCTATGACAACTACTAACTCAGATCAAAACAGAGCAACAGGTACAAGTACTCTCCTGTTTGATCTACATTTTTGGAGCTTGTTGAACCTTATATGCATTTAGAGATTTTTTTCCTAAACATGTGTTTGTGAAAGTATCAAAATCTGTGCTCAGAAGTATCACCCCATGTATATTAGCCTCAGAGAAGTTGAGAATGCAAAGCAAAGGATCTGTTGTCTCAACCCTGAGGCTAGATAACTATCTCCAGATTATCAGGATACATCAATCCTCCTGGAATCATGCTTTTCAGGAAAGGATCTTCGGTATTTCCCATCTTATAGAGGGTAAAGTTCCCACCTCCGAGAGTAATTTGATTCCTTGCTGTATCTCTTTTTTTTTTTAAGCTGTATTAGAAAATTATTTTGGAAGCAAGGGAAAGGGTATCACTGCAGGGGTGTTTTTAAAATGCAACAAAAAAGCTCCAGATAACTTTCAGTACTCACTAATCTAAACTAAGTAGCCTTTAGCCACCAAAACTTTTGATCCACCTTTAACTAGGAGAATCCTAGAAACCACAAGAAGATACTGGAGTTCTCCAAAGCTCTTGGGACTTACGGTGCTACAGCTAGGAGAAAGAGGATAAGGCCTTCTGCAATTACTGAAATCTTTTGAAGCTAGTCAGAACAAGAAAGCCCCATAAAACAATGTTTCTAGAGAAATAAATCTGTTGATTCACACAAAGCAACACACCTGGTATTACCATACCTCAAATAATGGTCATTCACAACTCTGTGCACTTGGGTGGCATTTATCCTGAGAAAGAGGAGATGCCTCTGTGTGTCACATCATGTCCTCTTTAGCTATAAAAGTGATACTTAAAAAGCACAGATTTATAGTAAGCTTAAGTCTGAAGAGAAAATAGACTAGTAACAGAGAAACTATTCAGATTGCAGATGGCCTTCACATTACCAAGATGCAATTGCTTAACAGACTGGAGACTTGCAAAACTAAAAACTTTTCCTGGCATGTCAGACTTAATGTTATCTGAATAAACCACGATTCCATGCCCCTCCTAGGTTTTTAATACTGTTCGTCTGGTAAGAGTTGACACTACGCAAGTAATTAGTAGTTTTAATAGAGGACAAATATTATATCATTTTTATAACTTAAGTATCAAAATGTATTTGAACGTTCTATCATTTCTGCAAGAAAGAAGTAAAATATTATATTAAGTAAACGATTCTCAACCTGAAGAACAAAAGTTACTACTACTAAGTGCCTTCCTCTAACAATTTGAGAAATGAAAGAGGTCTTTCCCCAGCCTCCAAACTTCCTGTGAAAAGTTTAACTACAACACAACGACAGTTCTCGTATTTTGAACAGTTTGTTCCTACCTCATTTGCCGCCTTTATGATAGCATTAGCAATCTTTGGGTCGAGACCATAATCTTGATTTACTTCAGCAGCTGCTCTCTTCAAGATGCCAAAAGCCCTTATAACTTGAACCTGAGACACAAGAGTAAGTTTAAATACATAATCTTCTTTTCCTCAAATGATGTTTTAGGAGCCTATAGTGCAGGTCTAATTCTAAATCAAACTCCTTCTGAACTTAAATCCAGCAGCAGTCAATTAACCAAACCAAAGAGCAATCAGGTCACATGACCTATATAATTTATATATTATTTATATATAATTTATCCAAGTAGTCCAGAAAGCAGTATGCAGCTCATCCCTTCTTTGTAAGTCCAGTTATGCTTTGTGTATAAAAAAAGATTACATGAATTAGGAACAGAAAAGGAGAACTGGTTCTATTTCTAAAATAGCCTCTTTGAAGGCAAACTGACAGACGTTTCAGTACATGCAAAACCACTGCAGGACAAAGAGCGTGCACAGTAATGCTCTATGCACAGCTAAACATGAAAAAGTAACTTCAAATCAACTCATGCTATACTAAACTTCTTCAATAACAAACCACAAATTATTCCATTCAGTCTTTAATCTTCAGAAAAATGAAATATTTCTATTTATTTAGGTTACTAAAAAAAATTTAGCAGCACAATAAAATAATTACTCAAAAGCAACATTCAATTTATTTAAATGCAACAAAAAATACTTCTACCACAAAACTATCTTGCCATGGAATTTCTAACTTTAATTAAAATTCAAAGTTGCTCATATGCCTAGCAAAAGCATAAGAAGGCATTTGCTCTCACATCCAAAAAATACTTAAAAGAGACAAAATGCACACAGCTTTAAATTACTTACTGGCATTCTTTCTGAAACACCTCCAATCTTGAAGTTCATTGTAGATCTTACAGTCTGGGCACCATAGTATTTGTCACTTGGGACCTTCAGTTCACCAAAGGTATCATATTCTATCCTAAACGCCTCTTGAGTGGACTATGAAAAAGGAAAAGAATGTATTTCAAACACTGGCAAACAGCACGTCCTTTTTGAAAGCAAATACAATTAAGAAAAAATGTGCAAGAAGTGGAAAAAAAAACAAAGACACACAGCTAGTCATAGTTATTTTTCTAATTATATCTTCAAAGTTCAGACATTTTTCTATTTTGAGCACCTGTCTCACAGAAAGTCACAACTGCTAACGTTGTGTAGCCCAGCAGACCCACTGGTGACAGGCAGCACTGCAAGACTTAAGACCTCGGCTGCCCACTGTACAAAACACATCATCCTGACTAAAGACTCAGGTTTTTTTATTTTTGAAGAATTAGTTATTTATCTTACAATTTATAGAACTAGTGTTTTTGTTAAAACTACACTGAAGAACTAGCACAGTAAGAATGCAGGTAGAACACACCCGGCAACATACACGTAACACAATCCCTATTTGAAATCCACACCACACAGGGGACAGAGGAAAAATACTGGAATTGAGCAACTGACTAACTCAGCACCAAGTTACTGGCAATTATCTTCTTAAGCCTCATAAACCAGGAACACAGTTGCCCTAACCAAAGTAGCTGTGCAACATGAAGAATATTTTGTGCCTAGCATGGATTGTAATCTAACACAACCAGAGGTAAATTAATCTTAGCTGACATACAGCAACTAAAAAGTGATTTTTACTTTTTGTGAAACAACACATCCATTTGTGATGATGTGATCATGTTCACCTATAACTCTATAAAATGATGGGAATGGACAGGAAGCAAGAGTAGTTTATTCTTCCTCTCCCCATGCCTTGGTCACAATTTTCTGTGAGAAAGGTGTTCATCCTTCCCCAGATGAAGTGACCCACAGTCTTCAGGAAGGGGAAAAAAGTATTTTTTAATTCTTAATCATAGCGAGTAATACAGTCCCAGCTCCATAGGTAGGGTATATAAGTATACAATGCCAGGCTCTGACCTAACCATGACCCTCAGGGGTGAGCCCTTGGGATAGCTCTATTGGAGCATCCAGTCAGTGCTGCAGCACAGCAGTGAAAGCAAAGCAAATGCTACAAACTATTAAAAAACACAGATGATACGAGACGAAACATTGCTGTGTCACCATGGTTCATCTACAGTCTGAAGTCTCTGTGCAGATTTGGTTCTTTTATCTCAAAAAGTGTAATATTTGAAACAGTTCAGGGAAAGGCAGCAGGGCTGATGTAAGGCAGGGAACAGAGTTCTTAAGACACTGACTTCTTCATTCACAAAAGAGGTGACTTGGGGTTTGAAGGAAAACTGGGGTCTATAAAAGCATCAGTAGAGTGGTGATGGGTATTAGCTGCTGTCTTTTCCACTACAAGAACAGGAGACATAACATTAGGCTAGTAGGAGTCAGGTTCAAAGCAAGGAAAAGGAAGCAGCTCTTCACACAAGTAGCAGACTGACAAAATTCCCTGCCAGCTGATTCTGCGGATGCAAGAAGTCCACGCGAGTTCAGGGAAGACAAGATAAGCACTTAGAAGAAATGTTTAAACTGGGTTATTATACAGACAAACCACTGACTCAGGAAATCCCCTGATGTGAAAGTGAAGAGTCTGGGTCAGAGTAAGAGGAAAGCATCGTGTAAGTTTGCACAGTCCTTACTCTTCCCTAGGTGTCCACTTCTGAAGTCGAACTGTTCCTCTCTTTTCTTGGTCCATTTTACTGGTTCCTTGCTTGGCAGGTCTCAGTCTTCTCAGACAGGGGCACAGCTGGGTATTGGGCAGATCACTCTCTCCAGCAACACTGACTTTCTGCAGCAGCCAGTCCAGGTCCCCATCGCTATGGACAGGAAGCTGCAGGTGGTAGTGGTGGTGGAGGGGGTGGTGTTCCAGCCTTTTTACTGTCCTAAGCGGCATTCCCAGCCAGGTGGAGAGGCTCTGCCATCAGGTACTCCAGCCCTCACGTACCAGAGACACCAGCCCGGCCCACCCAGGGCACTCTTGGGAGTAGGTTGTGTATGCGATCCAGAAGAAACTGCAGCCCAGCCCACAAGCAGCAAGGGTTAGCTCTCTCATCGCTGTCCCGCTCCCCACACCTTGTGTTTTGGCTGATGCTCTCCCAGACACTGACCCCAGCAGAATATAAAGCTTAGTGTAAACCAATATGCCATTCCTATGTTCTTTAATCCTCTTCATCCTATTTTAATCACTTAGCATTCATTTACGTGCTAACAAGAAACAGAACACAGCACTTATTTAGTATCTTACTACCAAAAATGTTTAATAAGGATGCTTGTGAGTCTTAATGTGCATGTCCACATATTAATATTCCAACAGCAGATATCATTGATGCATCTGAAATCCCTGCTTTTGATATCTGAACACCTTGTCTAAGCAGATAATATCAAGCTTTTCCTGGAGCTGGATAAGCAAAACCAATTGGGTTCCAAGCCCAGCTCTTGACCATCACCGGTTCAACCACCAAAAATATCCATGCTCAAACAACATAAAAAAGTTAAACGACCTGCAACATTTCAGACAAAAAAGCTGGCAGTTGCACAATTGATTCCTCAAACTTACATAATTCCAATGTCAACAATGGTGAAACAAAGATAAACAGAATCAGTTTGTATGTTTTAACAACTAAATCCTGTTTCTAAAAACATTCTTTACCAAGCCAATTCCACATTATGCACTTACACAAACTCCAGTGAAGTTAATGGGGTAAGGTACTTTAAGTTGAATGCAATTTGCTGATTAATAGTGACAAGCAACATTAGACAAAAAAGCAAAGTGGTATTTTTCATACATACTAAAGTAACTAAAATAAACTTCAGCATTACCGTCAGACTACTGTAGCAGCCTGCAGAAGTCACTGTCAGAGTTTTTATGTCCAAAACCACGCTTCCTGCACTCCTCAGAGAGAATTCGCTCTCAAGTGGCTTTATGAGCCGAATGTCCCAGTTCCTACACCTCAGGCGGTCTCTGCTGTCACTCCCTGCCCCAGGGAACCTCCTGTAAAACGGTGCCTCAGTGGCACTTGTGTCAGCCCTCTCCTCACACACCAGCAGGCCACAGAAGCCAAAAGGACACCCAGCAACCCTGCCACAGAGGCCACGGCAAATTCCTGTGCTCACTCAGTTTCTATTGCAGCTACAGCAAGTTTCAGCCCAGAACTACTATTCCTCACCTTTACAAAACAAATATATATATATCTATACACATATTTTTAAGAGGCCTGACAAGGTACACTCTGCACTCCAAAATCCCAGCAACCTATAGTCCAAAGCTTACACAGTTAGGCAAACATCACTGTACCTTTGCCTTGTTGCAGGGAACTAATCAGCTAGAACTGATTGCAACATGACACACTAGAGATATTCAAATGGCAGACCTACTGCAATAATGCTGCCCATGGAAAATTACATTCTGATTTAAAGATGCAGCAACTTTTGGATATAAGTATTGTCGTGGTTTTAACTTGGCTGGAAGCCAGACATCACAGAGCCACTCACTCACTCTCCCCCGCCCCAGGGAATAGGGGAGAGAACCAAAGAGATAAAGGTAAGGAGACTCGTAGGCTAAGAACAAGTTAATAATTCACACTTTTTTTTAAAAAATAATAATAACAATAATAATCATAATAATAGGAGTATCAGAACACACAAATGAGTGAGGCACAGTGCAATTGCTCACCACCCGCCGACCGATGCCCAGCCCATTCCCAGACCATGATCCCAGAGGAGTGAAAATCCCAAAATCAAAAACGCAATTCCAGAAAAGAGAAAGAGCGCACACATTTGGGTCAACCCTCATCTATATACTGAACATGATGTTATATAATATGGAATATCCAACTGGCATATCCAAATGCCACTTTGAACCCATCGCTCTGGCTATATTTTCCCCACCTTCTCCTGCACCTGCAGACCAGCAAAACATGGGAAGCTGGAAAGTCCTTGATTTCCCAGCAACAACCAGAAACGTCTGTACGTTATCAACGTTCTCCTCATACCTAATCCCACACTGAATCCAAACACAGCACTGTTCCAGCTACTGACAGGACAAAGTTATCTCTGCCCCAGCCAACACCAGGACAGTATTTCAACTCAAAGAATCATCATTTTTAGCATGTCAAAAACAAATCTTTCAAGGCCAGCAGAAGATGGAATTTGTGCTCAACTACTCTCCTTTAGCAGATGAAGAATGTTTTCATTTTTAAGTGTTGGTTCTCCTTTACAGTATCAATTGCATCACAAATTCTGAAATTTACTCTTTAGAAACCAAAGCCAATATTTTACAACATTCAGCTGAAGGAAGGACCGTTATGGCCACAATTCCATTTAAAACATCTTGTGCAATTTACCTCTAAGTTAAGGCAAAACAACAGTCACACTTATACAACAAACAGCATGATTGGTTGTGTCACAAGTTTTGCTGCTGAGAAGTCTCTGCAAACATTAAAAAGTAATGTTTCTTTTTTTTAAAAAAATAAATACTCATTGGTACATTTTCAGGGGTTCTCTTGGAAATAAAAACATACAAAGTTTTCCTGTAAGAATTCAAGGGTTGCTTGAGTTTCGAACTTGCTGAGGGACATTTTGCTGTAACTACTCCTGTTATTTAAACCCAAGCAGTTAATAATGTCTGTTTACAGGACAGGTAATATTTCTGACCAGCAAAGATCAAAATACACATATTTCATGTAAGACGGCAGCCTTTCACAAATACCACGTCTTCAGCAAGGAAATGGAGGCCCTGACCTATAAAGTTTTTAATTTTTCCTTTTTGCATCATCCAAGAAAAAACGGAACCATCTGACAGGCCAATGGTTTATGAGTTACACAGTCTGCTCTGACACAGTTTTTCTTATGCAGATATGTTTCATTCATGAAGTGGTTTATTCACTCATTTGGAAGCTTGTTTTTCTATACTGTAATAAATGTCACAGATTGGGAACTAATGTCCTAGTTAAATGTATTAACTGAGTATTAATTTATTTCAGTAAACTGAGTAATAAAATTACTTCTTCCAACATGCTCAAGTTATCTGCTTGTTTTAAGGAGCAGACTTACAGAGATGCACCTGAGATTAAGGCTTCCATGCAACATCCTGGCTATTAACTCAGAGGTCCTTATTTGAACCGCATTTTTGGCTTCTACTCTGAACCACATAATATAAATCCCACTCAGGTTTCAGCCTGCCCGTCAACTGACTATATACATGAACAGCAAGCGTGGATGGCTGCTCCCGGTCACAGGCAGTTCTCAGCTCTAAGCAGCCCCAAAGATTTTGCAGATCCCCTCGTTCCTGTGAGGATACAGCTTTGGCTTGTTTGTACAACAGCTCTAAGAAAGGGCCTGACGTTTCTGTGGAAGAAGCTGCTGCACGCCACGGCTGCGCCAGCAGCTCCTGCGGTGACACCTTCCTGCCCGCCTGCCTCCCTACCTGCTCGGCTGCCCCCTCTCCCCGGCCAGCCTAACGGCCGCGCCAGCAG